AGGAGCAAGAGAGAGGGGGATCTCTCGTCAAGGGCTGACAGAGGACACTTGCATCGGTGGGTGAGCGCCATGTGAGGTGATCGCCCGCGTTTTGACTGTGTGATAACCCGTCCAACCATGGACTGAAACACACAGCTGATTTCTGAGTTTTGCTCATAGACTGAATGCCCTACTGAGTTCCCGCCTGCTAAGTCTGTGTGTGTGTGTGCTTGCTGGACTGAGTTCCCGCCTGCTAAGTCTGTGTGTGTGTGTGTTTGCTGGACCGCATGTCTGTCTGAGTGCTGGTTGGCTTGCATGCGTGTGACTGTGCCTGTCTGAGTGCTGGTTGGTACGAGTGTGTGCGTGGCCCGCCAGGGCACTTGTGCGTTCGTTGGGCCCTCAGGGCCGGTACTTCCCTGTGGCCATGGCTTTGAAGGGTTGCAGCGGGGAAAAAGCACTCAAGTAGCGGGTAGGCCGGTACCGCACCCGGCAGGGGGGTAAATATGCGGGTACTGGAGGCCGAGCAGAAGAAGACAAAGTGGCATTTTTAGAGGCCGGTAGTGTAGGCTAGGTCTAGCGGGTACCAGTCTGAGTCTGGGGCCTGTAGGGGCAATATCAGAGTCTGCAATGATGTTTCCCTCCAAAAGAGGAGGAGGTACCGGTTGCTTGGGAAGGCCAGCGGCCTGGAAGTCACCGCCCAAGAGCAGGCCGCTATATCTTCAGGCCGGGCGGAAGACCCGGCCTCTTTTTCGGTGTGCAAGTTTGGCGACACACTGGTGGAGCGCTGGCTGGAGCAGCGCTAAGCTCGAGCAGCGCTGCTGGGGAGGAAGGAGAAGGACACGAGGGAGGAAGAAGAGGAAGGAGGAAGGAAGGGGGAGGAGCGCCAGGGGTACTTACCTGGCTATGGTGGCAGCCATCTTCATCACCTTGGTGGGCGCTGCAGGAGGGAGTCCCCAACTGGGGAGAGCTACACCAAGAAGCTTCAAGGCAGGGTTGGGCATGGCGGCCTGAGCTAGAGCAGCCATAGCTGCTTTTGCAATGACTTGCTGATTTCTACTGCCGAGATTGACTGCGAGGCTGTACACTAACCGGTAGGGTTAGATTCGTAATTTTGTTTGGCTGAGGGCTAACCGAGAGACCTGCCTGTAGGGAAATTCGTGAGGGACATATCTGCAAATCTGGGAAAATATAGGCCCAGTACTAACCCGAATTCGTACAGCTACCCTAACTGCGTATAGCAGGCCCGGGCTACCCCTAGGACAGACAGACCATAAGCGGCCTATGCTGATAGACGGTCCTATAGCCTATAGCCGGGTCCGGTAGAGGCCGAGAGGCCGAAACAGCAACGGTACCGGTCGGTCGGTCAGTCCGGTCTAGGTCTAGCGTAATCTATAGATCGGTTAGGCCCATCGGTTCAGGACTTTTGGCAGTTCATTTCTCACGAAGCAGCGTTGGAGAAGCCAAGCAAGTTGGTGGCGGTGACTGTCTGCAGGCGGCATCCTGAGACCGCACCGTTGACAGCAGCCATAGCCGGTCCAGTCTGAGTCTGCCATAGCTGGTGCATCCTCAGCGCATCTACCCCAGGGGGTATCTGCGTTTGGCCGGGCTATATCGAGGCTCTACACTGTGTACTCCTGGGTGGTGGCAGCCATAGCTGCCTGTTCCCTCGTCAGAGTTGTCCATCATCGCAGGACCTGTTCTTCATCAGGGTGGTTGGCGTTGGCCTCTGGCAGGCCATTCTGATGTGGTGCTACTAACTAGGT